AAAGTATACACGTTTGAATGCTCTTATCAGAATAATATTGATATCATCATAGAGACGTCTTTCTCTTTCAGAAAAATTATCATTTAAGAGCAAAACAAACAAGCATAGGGACAAGAATTGTAGGTTATTGAAAGATTCAAAGCAAATAAAATCGAAAAACCAGCTTAAGGGAAATTAAAGAGTAGATAAATTAAAAATGGCCTAGTGGGCTCATATTCTCAACCGGCCCAGCGGGCGTATAGTCAGAAATAACAAGGAAATTAAAGATGTTTTGTGTAAACAAAAAAATTTCTTTCTTTAATATAATACCTAATCAATTATCAAAATAATAACTTTTCCTCAAAAAAGAGAAAAAACATTAGTAACAACATATTATATTCAAAACAATAAATCAAACTAAAAACACTTTCCTATTCATGCTTCACGCTCAATTATTCCTTAACAGACCATCCCAATTAGATCGAGCATTATGCAAAACCACAAAAAAATATTAGAACAGTACCATATTTCGGAACTTTAAAAAGTGATTTAAGTAAATTTAATAATAATTATATACATAGCAGAAATCATAAATTGTACCTCCATATAGCTTTCTAATACTTCGATGTCGACAGGCAGGTTATTTTAATATCTATTGTCAGAAAACGATTTTTCTACGAATAAATGAAAGAAGAGAATGATCCATTGAGCACATGTTCTTGACCGGCCCATCAGTCATAAAATCTGAATATTAAGAAGAAATTAATCCAGGTTTATAAAGTTAAATACATAAACTACAAATAAAATTTTTACTACTCTAAATTTACTTGATCCAATTTCAATGAAGAAAGAGTATAGTAACTAACTAAAATAAGGCAATTAAAGATATTTGGTGAAAAAAAAACAGATTCTTAAAAAAATATGGAATTGAACCACATATTATATTCAAATCAATAAATTAAATTAAAGTTACTTTCCTATTAACGCCTGCTTTTCCTCAAAAAAAAAAAAAAAAAAAGAAAAAACATTAGTAACAAAAAAAATATAATACATTAATTCAAAATGAAAATCAAAATAAAGTTACTCTCCAGTTCATCAATTATTCTTTAATATTCTACGTTTGATTACAATATTGCAATATTGAGTAAAACCACTATATAACTGTGAAAATTTTTACCGAGTGACCCGGCCTAACACCATTTTCTCAGATTCCAACGCCTATCTTCTTGATTGGCACTATTTTCTCGTAGTACGAAATATAATAAGTAAAATCTTTGACTTTGGAAAATAGTTTGTTTTCACATAATTATATCTCATACTATGGGAAACGATACCAATAAAGAAGTACGGGTTTGGAAAAAGGTGTCATGCATGTTGAAAAAACATCACCAATCGGGATTCAGTTTACCTGTGTAAATGTTTTTTTTTTATCTCAAAGAAATTTTACTTATTATATATCGTACTATAGGAAAAAGGTGCCAATCACGTTGAAAATGATATCAATCAAGAAGATACAAGTTTAGAAAAAGGAGTTATGCATGTTGATAAATTTTAAATTTTGCACTTTGTAAATGTAGTACGAGATAATACTGTAATAAGTAAAATTTCTTTATTGGCGTTATTTTCCCATATTACGAGATATAATAAGTAAATTTCTTTGAGATTATGTAAAAAAAAAACATTTACACAGGTAAACCGAATCCCAATTGATGAGGTTTTTCCAAAGTGTGAGATTTTGAAATTTTATCTAAACTCTGATTAGCACCATTTTTCCGTAGTACAAGATATAATAAGTAAATTTCTTTGAGATTGTGTAAAAAAAAAAAAAGAATCATTTACACAGAATAAGCGAATCCCGATTGGTGAGGTTTTTCCAAAGTACGAGATTTGAAATTTTTCATCAACATGTATGACTCCTCCTAAACTAGTACCTTCTTGATTGGTGTCATTTTTCCATAGTACGAGATATAATAAGTAAAATTTCTTTGAAATTATGTAAAAAAAAAACATTTACACAGATAAGCCGAATCCTGATTGGTGAGGTTTTACCAAAGTGCGAGATTTGAAATTTTTATCAACATGCATGACTCCTTTCTAAACCCAGATTGTGTAAAAAAAAAACATTTATACAAAATAAGCCGAATCCCGATTGGTGAGGTTTTTCCAAAGTATGAAATTTGAAATTTTTCATCAATATGCATGACTCCTTTCTAACCCCGTATCTTCTTGATTGGTGCCATTTTCCTATAGTATGAGATATAATAAGTAAATTTCTTTGAGATTATGTAAAAAAAAACATTTACACAGATAAGCCGCGAGATTTGAAATTTTTATCAACATGCATGACTCCTTTCTAAACCAGATTGTGCAAAAAAAAATATTTATACAAAATAAGCCAAATTCCAATTGGTGAGGGTTTTCCAAATTACGAGATTTGAAATTTTTATCAACATGCATAACTTCTTTCTAAACCAGATTGTGTAAAAAAAAAAACATTTACACAAAATAAGCCGAATCCCAATTGGTGAGGTTTTTTCAAAGTGCAAGGTTTAAAATGTTATCAACATGTATGACTCCTTTCTAAACCATTTTCCCGTAGTATGAGATATAATAAGTAAATTTCTAAGATTATGTAAAAAAAAACCCCATTTACTCAGATAAGCCGAATTCCGATTGGTGAGGTTTTTTCAAAGTGCGAGATTTGAAATTTTTATCAATATGCATGACTCCTTTCTAAACCCAGATTGTGTAAAAAAAAAACATTTAAACAAAATAAGCCGAATCCCGATTGGTAAGGTTTTTCCAAAGTCGATATTTGAAATTTTTATCAACATGCATGACTCCTTTCTAAACCAGATTGTGTAAAAAAAAATTATAAACACAAAATAAGCTGAATCCCAATTGGTAAGGTTTTTCTAAAGTGCGAGGTTTAAAATGTTATCAACATGCATGACTCCTTTCTAAACCATTTTCCCATAGAACGAGATATAATAAGTAAATTTCTAAGATTATATAAAACAAAATAACATTTACTCAGATAAGCCGAATTCTAATTGGTGAAGTTTTTTCAAAGTGTGAGATTAATGTTATCAACATGCATGACTCCTTTTTAAACCCGTACCTTCTTGATTGGCACTATTTTCCCATAGTACGAGAGATATAATAAGTAAATTTTTTTGAAAATGTATAAAAAAAACATTTACACAGATAAGCCAAATTCCGATTGGTGTAGTTTTTCCAAAGTGTGAGATTTGAAATTTTTATCACATGCATGACTCCTTTCTAAACCCAGATTGTGCAAAAAAAAACATTTACACAAAATAAGCCGAATCCCAATTGGTGAGGTTTTTTCAAAGTACGAGATTTGAAATTTTTCATCAACATGCATGACTTCTTTCTAACCCCGTACCTTCTTGATTAGCGCCATTTTCCCGTAGTATGAGATACAATAAGTAAATTTCTTTGAGATTATGTAAAAAAAAAACATTTACACAGATAAGCCGAATCCTAATTGGTAAGGTTTTTCCAAAGTGGAGATTTGAAATTTTTATCAACATGTATGACTCTTTTCTGAACCAGATTGTGTAAAAAAAGCATTTACACAAAATAAGCCAAATCCCAATTGGTGAGGTTTTTCCAAAGTACAAAATTCGAAAATTTTTCATCAACATGCATAACTCCTTTCTAAACCCATACCTTCTTGATTAGCGCCATTTTTTCATAGTACAAGATATAATAAGTAAATTATGTAAAAAATAACATTTATACAGATAAGCCAAATCCCGATTGGTGAATTTTCCCGTAGTATGAAATATAATATTTCTTTCTATTTTCTCGCAGTACAAGTAGGGATTGGAACCGGTTAACCGTTTAAAAATTGCTCTGTAGTTCCAGGCAGAATTATGTTGGTTGTGGGCAGGAATTGTTTTAATACCGGCCAAATTAAACAGTTAAGAAAAGGTTTAGGCAGTTTCAATCCCTAAATACGAGAAGTAAAGTTTTTTCCAAAGTACGAGATTTAAAAATTAACCACACACCATTAGATGTTTCAAGTCCAAATTAGTAAAAATTCCAAACCATCCTTTCAAGTTTACATTGCTAATGCCAGCAGAAGTCTTTTACTATCCCTTTATAGTCAAGTCAAGTAATCCAAAAACTACCTAACTATTTATCGATTAAACTTGGTTTCAATGTCTGGTTCCGAACTCAAGTAATTAGTTAAAATATTATTGATCTCTAAACATAGTTTTTCAAAACTGTTATGTAGTTAACTAGAGTAAAAATTTATATTAACTATTAGACATAACTAATTATTAGATATGTATTTAGCTAGCAAAAACATGTCAAATCCTTAATTAAAATTTCTTTATTTCAATAAACTTAAATTGTGTATATCAAAGACAGAAAAGGTAAATTCTTAGAAATTAGTCTTAAAATTGAGCTTAAGTAATAAATTAAGATATTTTAGATCTAAAAATACTCTTCAAAACTAAGAAATAATAACTTATGATTAACTTAAATTAAAAATTTAAAACTCAAACTTATTTTGTCAATGCAAAATTGATTAATTGGTTTAGAACATATAATTAACTTAAATTAAAATTTTGAACCTCGAAACTTATCTAGTCAATGTAAAATTAGTTTTCATAGAGTTCAAATAAATTTTTTTTTAAAAAAACCGAAGGGTTTAATTTAAAGTTTCGTGCTATGCAAACCAAAACATTAAGATTGTGCAGCCTTAGTTAGACTATTTTTACATTCGGAAACCAATAGATTAATGAACTCTTTGTAGAGATTAAACTTTTTTTTCTTTTTGAAATTTGAATCATGTAGAAAGTAGTAGGTGATATCAGCTTTGTTTAATAAAGGATACCAAGTCTCTATCAGAATTTTTTGATCCTCTAATTTCAATATTAAATCAGTAATATGATCATAAACCTGTTTGCATCGACTAGCTTGAGTAGCAGATGTATCGTCCAGGATTGAATTTGTTAGAATTGTCATTAAATCCTTTTTACGCTTGTCATCATCTCTAAATTTCTTATTTTTCAATATTTGTATAATCTTGTTCGTTTGACTAATTAAGACACTTACAAAAGTCCATTCAGCATTATGCTTCATTTCCTCTGAAAATTTTTTTACTTCTTTAATATAAGCCGACCATTGTTCATTATCTACTGAATTTGCTTGTTCGATGCCAATATTAATTGGAATCTTATCTGATTTTAGTCTTGAAATATAAGCTTGTAATTGAGCTTCTATATATTCTTCATTACTTTTTCTCTTTGTCTTTGAGCTATCTTTTTTCACATTCAAGTTTGTATCACTGTCACTCATACTTAAAAATTGAAAAAAAATTTCAGATTTGTAAATAATGAATCAAATCAAATTCATTTTGAAATACTTACTTTAAAGAAATGAATTAAAGCTTAATTTCAATCAAATTTTTTAAATAAATTTATAAATTTAGGAGTGAATGAGGAAATTTCCACAGATCTTTGAATTTTAATCTGAAATACAGAATATACGTATAACGATTATGTTGTAGAACTTATTCTGCATTGATCATGACCAAATTGTAAAGATTTTCAAACTAAATAAATGTCATAAAACTAAGTTTTAATATAAAAATTCGACCAAGATTATCAAATATTGGCCGGAATTATAAAAATTTAACGTTACATAATAAATACAAATTTAACTTTACGTTAATATTAGCTTTATAAATTAAAAGCCAATTTACAAAATATCAAATGTTCAAATTATTCATTGCCATAAATTCTATTCACAATAAAACCAATTCAATTCGAATAAATTGAAACTATTTAATACGACACTAACCCATCATAATCTAGATGTCCGAACTAGGGTTAAAAATTGCATAAATTACATTTACGTTACAAATAAATTACACCATAACTTACAAAATTGTAATGTAATATTACATTTGATAATGGATTAGAACATGATTATTGTACCAACATTATGAAAGTTTTGCAGTATTATTAGAGATTTATCACTACACTCAGAACTATTCAAAAGTACACCAGGTATAATGAAATTTTGGCTACATTATTCATATGATATCAAAATTACATGAAATTTTGGTTTTGGAAGCTTACACTAAATTACGTAAAATTATACAAAATTACAGTAATTTTACAACCTTAGTCAAACCCACAACCTCCAGCCATTATTTTAGCAAAAAAACCCTTTACATCCTTTATAATTTTTATTGCAACCATTTGAGGTATATACAAAAGTACAGGTTGATTGCCAAAAGCTCCATGCACAATTGGTTCATAAGGTTCGGTATACAAATATGAATAATTCGAATGTTTTCACTTATTGATACTATAAAAATAGATAAAAATCAGTTCGAACTTCTATGAAACAGGCAGGAGAAAACCAAAAATATATATACGACCATATTATTAAAATTATTATGACCTGAATAATTTTTAACAAAATAAGAATATTTTGGCAAGTAAAAAATTTCGCTGTAAATTTCTTTTGTACTGTTATTTCAATTATCATTAATTAACAATAAAATTATGCTTTATATATTTTTATCACGTCAATTGAGTAACAGATCTGCATTTATATTATAAATATATAAACTTTATTATAGAAATTATAAGTTTCAATATAAAATGTGAATTAATTATCTCTTTATCTCCTTTCTTTGAACAAGTTCATTACAATAAAACAAAGCTTTTTGAGAATATACACTTGGGTTTATATTAGTATATTTTAACAAGTACAGATCAACACTATATATTCTTTATCCTAAAATGCAGTATCATACATAACTCAGAGTTTCATTTGATGCTTTGTAAAAATAATGTAATACGAATAACAGTGGCGAAGGCAACATAAATAATTTTTAGGTCAAATATTATTAGGTTTGAATCAATTATTGAACAGCATTTGCAATTTGGAAAGAATTACATCTAATATGTTTTAATGCGCGTTTAATTATAACAGATCAGCAATCTGTATATCGTGAAAAACATGCTTTGTAAAATAGATAATACGAATAATCACGGAAAAGATAAATAGTATAAATTAAAACAAAATTGTTTTAATTATTTCCTAATTTGAACAAGTTCATTTACAAAAAATGTATTAAAAGAATCATGTAAAATCTAGTTTTCAGAATTGAATAAATTACAATTACAAAATGCCAAGTAAAAACATTTTAAAGCCCTTAGCATCATTGCTAAGAATTGCTACTTATTTTATTTTTCTATTGTTGATTTTGTTGAAAATTGCTTTTACAATTTTCCTGGCTCTAATATTATTGACTTCTTTGATTATTGCTGCTTTGATTTTCACATCTTCGATTCTAATATTGAATATGATTTCAATTCCATCTTTCTTGTTGTTCTCTAGTCTCATTGTCGGGTTTTCCGTATTATTTAAAAGAACTATCAACAAATCTGAATCCACTTGCTCAGATAAAAGGCGACCCACAAATGGAGATTTTTATAAAAACACAGATGATAGTAGACATTCATTGGAACAAAATTTTATTTTCGTTAAGAATATCTTCAAACTTTATTTATCGACATTCTATAGAAACAAAATCTTTTTTAATTCTAAATTAATACCTCTTTCTTACTTCAATAATAAGATTTCTTTATTTTTATCTAAAAAAAAGTTTTAGCTAATTTAAATTTAAAAATCATGAAAAAACCTTTTTACTTCGCAATATTCTTAATGCTCTTATTTTATATCATATACTTTTCCTGTCCTGATATTATATCTACCATTGTATTCGGGACATTTTCCAGAAGGGCAAGATTCCATTTCGTTGCATCAACAATGAAAAAAATTCTATTATTATATTTAATGTTCAAATTTAATCCTATAAAGCACAAAATCAATAAATCATTATTTAATAACTACAATAAATTTAAATCAGAAAATACAAATGAAAGTTCAAACCCATCTGCATCCGATCAATTTAATACAATTACCACACTGAAAAAAAATTCTAATTATAAAATAAGAACAATTAATACCTTATCTCTAGATTTTGAAGTTATCAAAATAATAGAAAGTTCGCTCTCTATTCATTATAATTAATTTATAAAGTGCCATCTCCTGAAAAACTTATAATAGGTTTGCATTTCTGTAGTTACTCTGCTTCGGATATCGAAATTAAATATTCCAACTATTTATATTCCATATAAACAACGTTGACCCTTAATTCTGAAGATTATAAAACTCCAATTGGGAATCATGTATTAAAACAAAATTATTTTTTGGCTATAGAAAATATTGATTCATATTCTTTATGAACTACAAATATGAATAACACATTTGGTCTATTTTATAGGACCACTTCTAGAATGATTGATTCCGTGAAAGATTACAAATTGGAACTTGAAGATGTTTGTCATTCAGAAGAAGAAATTCAAAATTCAAAAAAAAATATCAAATCTATGTTTGAAGATATTTATGAAGATATTCGTCATTTAGAAAAAAATATCAAATCCCTAAGTGAAGATTGTCGTCAATTAGAAAATTATTTGTCTGACAAAAACACAAAATTATATATTGACATTCGTGATTTTCTAAAAGAATTAAAAAAATTTGATAATTTTTATTTACTTGGAGATGTCCATTGTATTGGTGGTGTTCGTGCTTAAATTATTAAAACAACTTTTTATTTTAGTCCTCAAAATTAATGACTAAATCTTTATTTTTAAATCAAATTGGTTAAGTAATTGGCTTAACGCTATTCGGCTTTGTTTAACTTGAGGGACATGCACTTATCTTTATCTCTGCCCTTTTGTCGAAGAGCAAAATGGTTAAGATCTAATGGAAAGTCAAACAAGCTAATCATTTATCTAGCATAGAGGTTTATAGCTAAAATCACAATTGATAAGTGGTTTTTTTTTTAAAGCATTTACTTTTAATTTATTATAAGTAGTAATATTCTTTTCTTTAGAATGTTTCGCATGAGGTTTTGCTATAAATGACTTCCTAAATGGGTCATTTATAGTAAAAGCCAGATATTTGTGGCTCGAGACTGGTTTAGATGACAAAGCTTCGATTGATTTTCAATAATGAAAATTCTTTGGTTCGAGATGACAGAAGCTGATGGTCTTTGATAAGTTCATGAAATTTTTTTGTTTGTCAGAATTGCTGATAAAATTTTCCATAGCAATTCTCTCTTGAGTTATTCAATATTGAGCACTAGTTTTAAGCTATTATTTAGCCAATTTTTATTTATTTTTTTATTTATTATTATTCGAATTAAATCATTCATGTTTTATCAATTTTTATTTGAAAGAAATTTTCTTTATTTTTATTGCAACAATTCCATTCCAAAATTTTTCAATGAAATTATGTATATATTTATAATAAAATTAAACAATAAAATTGCAAATTCCATTTTCTAGTTCCAGATTATAATATCCATTATTGTTTATTTATTTATAATTAACATTATTAGCTATTGTATAATTTAAAAATATTATTACTTTGTATTAGAAATAATAAACTGTATGTATACCTTTTGTGACCTCATAGAATTTAATGATATTAGTACTCTTCGCAATAGCTTAAGCTTTATTATACATTGTAGAAATTTAATATTATATTAAAAAGTAATTCAAGTCGTAAGTTAATAAATACCTCATTAACAAAATCTTTAATAATTTTTTCATCTAAACTTAAATCGTTATCGACTTTAAGATATTTGAAAGCAACTATTAATTCACATTCTTTCACTCGTATTTAAAAACCTTTCCAAAATCTCCAATACCAATCAATGTCGAGTCAGTAAATTTATTATATTCAAGATAATTAATATGTCTATCAGAAATAGCTTTTTCAAGCCATTCTACTGTAATGTTTACCATGACTTTCTGTAAAACTAATTCTTGGTCAAGAAATAGGAAATTAACGTACATATGCATGTATTATATGGTGCAACATTTTAATTCTACCAAATACAGAAATATGATGATAATCTATTGTAACAGGTAGGATTGTATTACATAAATTACATACATACGTACGTACAATTTTAGTTTCATGTTATATGAAAATACAGTGTTTTTCTAGTATAATTATAAGATTAATTTCAATGCAACCTTTAAATTTTCTTTTTGTGCATCAGACAATAGTAAATTTTATGGGCAAAAATTTAATAATATTCAATCAAATTCTTTACAAAATAACAAATGTACAAATTATATTTCTATAAAAGATAAATCAAATTTCTTACAAATTATAAATAAAACAACTTCTATTTCGGCAAAAATGCTCATTCAAATATATTACAAAATAATAATTGTTACTTTTAATCAAATTTTTTACAGAATAAGAATAATGAATGTGCAAATTATATTTTTATGAAATATAAATCAGATATGTTACAAGATAATAAATTAACAATTTCCATTTCAGCAAAAAAATTGTAACATTCAATCAAATTCTTTACAAAATAATGAATACACAAATTATATTTTACAAAAATATGTTCAAGATAATGAATCAACAGCTTCCATTTCAGTAAAAAATGCTCATACAAATATATTACAAAATGATTATTGTGCAAGTTTTAATTTTGTAAAAAACACAAAATCAAATTCTTTACAAAATAAAGAATTTGCAAATTTTGCTTGTATAGATATATCTAAATCTAACAACATTATACCTAATTTTTTGCAAAACAGTGAATAGATTAATAACACAATTCCACTTATTATATAATTTCATAACCTTTGTTATCATTGATTTGCTAATATACAATAACTCTGCAATTTTTTTACTATAATCATCATTATAAAGATACAATTCGCCAGCAAAGGTCTTTGCTAAAAGCAGAAGGTATTTTAAAAGAATAATAATAAAAAATCTATAAATTTTCAAACTATATTAATAAATTATTAGATTTGAGTTTATTATTATATATTTTATAAAGCTTATCTAATCTAAAGTTCTAAAAGTCTAATCTAAAAGTCTAATCTAAAAGTTTAAAAAATATTAAATTTTCCTGATGTACCTCTAGAACCAGATTCTTTATTTATAACATTAAGTACATGTTATTTTAAAAATAATTATTGATAAAACAATTATCCAAAATTTAGGTTTATTTTAATGAATTGTTATATAAATATAAATATGTAATAATTAAAGTACTAATTTATTAACTATAACAATATTAAGAACTCTTATAATAATTAGAGATATAATATAAAAACTAGTTCTCTGAGTAATATGTATTATAATTTAAATAAAGCAATGATTTTTTCTGAAAGATTCTAAAAATATATATAAGTATAAGATATTAACAAATTCTTGCTATTACTTATAATTATCTTTAATACACAAAATTAGCAAATAACTGGACTAAAATAAAAAAAGACTCTTTCCATAGATCACTTTACCAAATTAGAAACAAGAAGAAAAAATTTTCCCATGACATTTTCTTGAAAACTTACTAAGTAAATTGATATCCGGCTCTTAAGTAAAGTTATCTAGCACCCCGCAAACTACTTAAAGGAGGTGCAAATTTTATTAAAAGACCCCACTACAACAAGTTAGTAACAATAAACACCCAAAACAGCAACAAAGCAGTTTTTCAATCCTTCTGCGAAAGCAGTCTTAAGGACCCTCAACTTTTATATAATCCAAAAGATTTTACAGATAGTACTCTAAGCAAAAACAATAAGCAACTATAGTTTCATATTATATTAAGCCCCAAGACTCTGACAAAAACATGGCCTCAGAAAGCTCTTCCTCCTACTGGAATATTTTTTCTCGAAACACCAAGGCCGCTTCACCTGAAGATACCCCTACTATTAGCTTACTGCTAGATCCTAGTGTAAAACACACCAAAAAATTTTTAAACATCACTATGAAAGATTGGTCCAAAATCACATTCTCTGTTAGCTTCTCTGTTCCTGAATATGCTAACTCTTTCGTCTTCTATGTTGATATTACCAAATCTGGAAAGATCCCCAACTTGACCGACTACCCTCCACAATAGTTATACAGACATGAAAATCTTGCCCAATCAGTTTTGTTTGACCTTACATCATAAAAAAGCAATGTTGTTAATATTAGCGCCAAACACCCAAAACCTACTCGTAATAGTGATCTTGTAACAATTACAAACCTATACGAAGCCAGTATGAAACCTTATTCAAAAGCCAAAGGTACAGAAAA